CTCTCTCACTCGAACTGTTTGAAGTGGTCGGGGTCTGTTGCCTATAGGGAATATGTTGCGGGATTCTCGTCAGCGTAGAATCAGCTGTAACCCTGAGTAGTTCTTCGGTTGCTCAGATAAAGCCTCTGATGGTCGATCGAGGCCACTTGGACTCTCGGAAATGCGTTTTGATGGCTGATGTACTCGCAGGGCAAATAGACTCGGCTGAAAGTCCGAATTCCGATCGAGGGTGCGCGGGTTTGTCGGACAGGCAATTGGAGAGCCTCTTCAGACTGAATGTTAAGTAAGATTCGGAGCTTTTTCCGAACTGTTCCGAGTGAAAAAGTTACCAAGTAGGCTATTCTTTTGTTTGAAAGCGCTCGAGAAACATAACGACTACCGCCGAAACTTCGTTCAACAGTGTAATCACCCAATGCTATCTGCATAGTAGCGGACTAGTCGTTCACGAGCGGTAGAATCGTTTGGCCAGCGCGATGATCGGTGACTTCCGTGTCACAGGAAAAGTTGAGAAGTCCTACTCGAGTAGGTACACGTCATTTGTTGCTAACGTTGCATTGAAGAAGCTCCTCGAGTCTGTGGATGACAGCGTACAAGCTGCCAGGCTGCAGGCGAGGGCGAAGCGGAGCATGGATGACCTGGAACGGATTAAACTGGAAATGTTAAGGAGGGCTGAAGGAGGAGGGAGAGAAGAAGTAAGGAAGTGGTGGTATGAATAAGATCGTAGCCTTGTTGACTTTTCGTAACTTACATAGTAAATTTCGAGCTCGTATAAGAGGTGAAAATTTCATCATCTTGAGCGTTGGTTTCATACGGATGAGGGGTGATTAGCCGAGATGGGCCTGATCTCTTATTTGGGGGACCAAATGGATATCCACTGGAGTCAGTTCATGATTTTGAAATTGTCCTTGTCTCCTCAGACATCGCCTGTGGGGCGTAGTGATAGCGAATCAGAAGGGATGGAAAAGGGAGAAAGTCAGAGTACGGGAGCGCGGTCGGGCGACGATTTTGAAAAACAGTTGGAAATGCGGCTATCTGCATTGAGAACTCCGCCGCCATCACCGATAGCATCCCCAATGAATGTTCCATCGCAGAGGCCAGAGCGTGCAAGGTACCCCAGCTTGTCACTCCGGACTGAGGAGGAAGTAGGGGCACCAGTAGTTGAGAGCTCAGCTAGAAGATATCCTGAAATTGATACTGTGATGCGAGCAAAGCCGGCGCCGACGGTGACGACGGTTGGTGAACGCCGCTTGAACGCAAACGTCCAGTACGATGGTTTTTTGATGAGAGATAGTGTTAAATACGTGGCACCGAAGATCTGGTGCAGAAGTTCCTCATTGTTGCGGGGTAATAGGGCGGTAAATGCCAGGAGCATAGTAAAAATAGGCTATGATTATAAATCTGTTATACTGAATATTAGTATTATGAATATAATATTCAAGAATTGAATATATAGATTATGACAATTATATCATAACTTTGGAGTTTCACCGGTGATATGAAAAACACTAGTGAAAACATATTTCACAAATCATTGCATACCGCGAATATCGGGAGTTTCACTGAGTATTACGCTACTCCACGTAAAACGGGTGAAACTCCATTATTATTAATCACATCTCTAAACCATGCATTTATATCATGTGTTCGACTTTGAAGTTTTTCCCTAGTGCGGTAGTCTCCATCATTTCTCCATGCCAGAGCAGAGCTTTTATCGATGATATGGCAGATACAATACGTCTAGGAATCTGGAAACTTGTGGGATTTTGCTCGGCACGATGGGCGATTCAACTGCTGCTGCTACTACTGGAGCTAGTGCATCAGTGATTCGAATCACTCATCTTTTTGTGCCACAGCAGAGCGGGACATCAGACTCTTGTGAATCTAGTGAGGACAGCGATGTTCAGGTAGTGTGTGATTGTGGATTTACTCCCGACTCCTATTCTGATCGCAATAATCGTACGAGTCTTCTCTTGTGCATGCGTGCAAGTGTAGTTGTGGCTGTTCTGTTTCAGGTTCTGGACTTTGCGCTCAGCAGTGGTCTCATATGTGTTGGGTGGATTCACACGCATCCGAGTCAGAGTTGCTTCCTCTCTAGTATCGACCTACATACCTCACTGGGGTATCAAGTTCTATGCAATGAGGCTCTGGCTATCGTGGTTGCCCCCACGGACCATCAGTACCAGCCATGTGGAGTTTTCCGTCTCACCGAGTACGGCATTGCGTATTTGAAAACGTGCCACCGGAGGGGATTTCATAAACATAGCGACGCCCAGATGCCGTTGTATGAGGTTGTGGGCTCTCGGGAGTGGACGCTGGTCTCTGATGCTGGCGTAACGATCGTAGACCGTCGTATCGGGTGACACTCCTCCAACTTTGTTTTGTTTGAATTCATCACTTTTATGTATCATTATTCAACCAACGCGATGGGTTGTGCTATGGTGAAGCTGTGGGCAGGGGAAGATCCATCTTATGCTTAAGTTGATTATCATATGTCTGCTATGAGGGCACAGTAGTATCGTTGGACTAAGAGTGAATTTGAAACGTGTGGTGGTTGTATCGCTCTGCATATGGCTTTGCCCGAACGGCATCGTTAACATTGCTTGTCAACACATGAGGACGATGAATACTAGTAACTGTTGAATTCTCCACTTCGTCGCATGCAGCTTCTGTCCTTGTTAATGGCATCGAGTCTGGTGCGGGTGTATGGACTGAGGTCGATAAGAATGCCGAGATGTGTCACGTATAGAGCGTTCGCGGCTCAGGGGCGGGCGACACGGTAGTGATAGGCTCCTGTGTGAGAACGTGAACTGTTGATGTCGCTTTGGGATGCGCCTTTCTAGGAGGGCGCGCTTCTACTCCACGATCGAATCGTACTAGCATGTCCCTAGGCCACATCCGTCCATGCAACACTTCACAAAGGAGCAAGTGGACGCGTTCCGGGAGGCTAAGTTGGAGGAGAAACGTGAGCAGATGAGGCAAGAAAGAGCGAAGTTCAAACAATACATGGAGATGGATCAGGAGCGAGAGGTATGGAAGGGGAGCACATGCGCTCAGAGGAGTCAGCGTAGTGTTGATCGTAAGAGATTAATGAGGAGACTGTTGTTATATAGTTTTAAGTTTCTCGTTAGCGATTCACATAGGTGCCGGAAGCAATTTTGTGGCGCAGTGACGGTTGTGGTCGATCAGGCGGAGAAAAAGCTGGAAGAGAAGCCCAGCGAGATAGGGTTTTGGAGAGACTTCCAAATGAGTTTCGCCGAGAACGTCCTTTCTGATAAAATGAAGGCGGTGATGATCCTCTATGGTCTCGATACCCGGAAGAGCGTGCATCATCCTAAGCACCCGCAAATTTCTCCAACAGCAGATTTGGTGAGTCCGCACTCGCTGAGGCGGTAGAAGCGAGAAGCTCAGCTCATTAAGCAGTGTTGGAGTGTATGTTTGCTTTCCTCAGCAGAGCGCAGGAGCTTCCCCATTGGTTATAGAAGTTCACATACGAAAATTTGACAGAAGTGTACGGGAAAATATGAGAAATTTTCCCTAAGAATTCCCCAGAATTCTCATATAGTCGCCAACACTTATAGTGCATATTTTCTCACACCGGTATCCGGAAGGAAATATGAATCGTAATTCGCTGCCTCGTCGGAGTCTGTGGTGATTCTCAACAGATACCATCATTCCTAAATATGTGGTTCCCATTCGCTTGGGGGGTTGCCATCGCCTCGAGCATTGGATTCGCCATGCCGGCAGCTGTAGTCTCGGCCAAAGGCCTCACTGCGTTCTTTTTTCTCCGAGGAGGCGCTGCTGCTTCTGCGGTGGGTATTTTCTACATTTCGGCGAGTTGTATGTCGGAACAGGTCCTTTGGAATGAGATGAAGAATCCCTCTACTTCGGAGCCGCCCGAATCAACACCAGTGGTCATCAGGGAAAAGGAGGGCATGAAGTTTGGCTTTTCCCAGCTTACTAAAGGAGAACTCGCACTTCTCAGCTTTATTAATCTGGCGGCTGGAGCTCAGTACATATCTGCGTAGGTGCTCATATTACGATGTACAATCTCCATAGGGGGTTCACCCGTGATATGAAGAACACTAGTGAAAAACATATTCCACGACTACTGCATAGCGCGAATATCGCGTTTTTCCACCGAGTTTTACGCCACTTCACGTAAAACGGGTGAAACTCCAAAAATATCAATATCATAATACCAGTATGGATGCAATTATAAATGCTCTTCTGAAGATGCACTTTTAGTTCGATTGTTCATCCATCTCGGACATGTTCCTGCCTTTGGGTGGTAGTCTTTCTTGTGTGGTCGTTCCTGATGTGTGTGATTCGTACTGCCTCGACCACAGTGAGTCGGTCCGTGTCTTCAGACTGGTCGATCCGTCCTGGGCATCTTATGCTCTGATTGCTGGTTCCGTAGCGGCTGCAGGCCTCTTCCCCAAGCAACTGGTGAGATCAATTCACTCTGGATCAAGTGC